CAGAGAGGGGACGCTGGAGCACAAGCCCTGCTCCCAGGCTGCAGGAAAGCCGCGCTTGGAGCTGCGTCGGGGACATGGGGACTGGGCCCAAGGGCAAACAGAGCTCCTGCCCCATCCTCGGGGGGCACAGCAGGGTCTTCCTGCTCCGGGAGCCCTCCCGGTGCCCCGGTAGCCCAGCTCACCTGGAAGCAGATGGCGCACACGTCATTGTGGTCCCGCAGCTGCCCGCGCGTGGCCCTGGGCAAGGAGTTGATCTTCTTGGCGGCCTCGCGGCGGAGCAGGAAGCTCTTCCAGCCCGACTGGGCGCGCAGCCAGACGTTGAAGTAGGAGTGGATGATGATGACGGAGGCGCCCATCCAGCTCCACTCGCCGAAGAGGGACTCCCACGTGCCGTAGCCCACGACGCACACGGCCACCAGGAACTCCAGCACGCGGCTCACCGCGTTCACGTAGTAGATGATCTCGTCCATGCGCTCCAGCGGCGTGTCCTGGAACAGCTCCACCATGAAGAGCGCGTAGATGAAGAGCGTGCCCATCACCTGCAGACAGCGGGGACAGCGCGTTGGCGCCGGCGCATGGAGCGCACCAGGACCCGGAGCCCCGGCCCCGCGGCGCGGCCCTGAGCGGGCTGCACACACCACGAGGATGCAACGGAGCGGGGAGCTCCTGCGGACAGTGGTAGGGGACACAATCCAACACAGAGGGGACAAGGAACAGGCTGGTGCTGTGGGACATAACGGGGGGGAGCAAAACCATTCCAGGAGGCCAAGCAAGGGGCCTCCAGGACAGTGACATTCCCCGGGGCTGGGGCTCCCTGTACCTGCAGAGAGGTGAGCATGCAGCTGGAGACCAGGATCAGCAGCCAGAAATCCAGGTGGAAGAAGTGTGCGATCTTGTAGGCCATGAAGCAAGGGAAAACCAGCAAGAAGAGGCACATGCTGACACCGCGGAAATGCTTCCAAGGGCTCCTAGGGAAGGCGCAGGTCAGCGAGGCGCTGCCGAGAGGGGCAGCCCGTCCCCGGGACCTGCCCTCCAGCAATGCCCTGGAGCGGGCAGAGAGGATCCGGGAGGAGCTGCAGGGCAGGGAGCACGGATCCTGGCAAGCAGGACCCGCAGAGCAGGGGTGGACATGGAGAAAATCACAGGGAGCGCGGAGGCCTGGCCAGTTTGGACATGCCCCATTCTGGGGACACCATGGTGCCCAGGACACGTCTGGGCAGGCAAAGGGAATGGGGCAGTGCTCCCAAGCCCAGAGAGACCTGGACCAGGGCACAGGGGCACCCTGGCTCTACCCAGGCCCCACGGTACCCGGTTTGGTTCTTCCCGGAGGGAGGATAACTCCAAGCCTGCAGAGCAGCCACGGCCCAGCTGCCGATCCTCCTGCCCACTGCCGCCCTGCAAAGCACCCAGCCCTGCAGGTACCTGTTGCGGGAGGCCCCCAGCGCCAGCACGATGGGGTCGGCGATCTCGATCATGGACTGCAGCGTGGAGGTCACCACGATGAAGAGGATGATGCTGAGGAGGAAGGTCCGCTGGAGGATCTGCAGGTCGAGCAGCCCCGTCTGCAGTGCCAGCAGCAGCAGCGTCACACCCTCGGTCACCCCCCTGCGGGCAGCGGGACGTCAGCACACGGGGCAGTGTGACCGGTGCAGGGCGCACGCCGCGCGCGTGCCAGGGCCATCCGGACGGGGCAGCCCTGCCACCTTGTGCACGGCCCACGAGCCCCTTCCCACCTTCGGGGCAGCGCTCTGCTCCGCCAC